AAAGTTTGTCTAAAGGAGCTTTTGGCGCCAATACATACTAATTATGAGGGGGGAGAAACTTTTTTGGAACAAATTTTCCAAAAAGTGCCTAAAAACGGTTTTTTGGTGCTTTGGGAGAACTCGGAAAATCAATTTGGTCGACCCAAAAAAAGTAGACAAATTTTTGAAACGTTTTTTAAATGTTCGCCCCCTCAAAAAAATCTTAGATCCGCCCCTGTCTGATTTTATGAAAACTTTTAGTTTTTTAGTTTCATCCACCCTGGGGAAGGGAGAGAGGTATAATTTTTTTAATTCACTTAAACTTGATTGGTGGTTTATCAAAAACTATGAATTATTCTAACAATTATAGTCTGTCCTTCGGTGGCAACCAATATGTTGGAGTGCTTAGTTGCCATTTTAATGTGATATTTAAACATAAACTAATTCACCTATTGTAGCAATTCATTTTTGTTTTTTAGTACGTTAGTGTTAGAACCAGATCACTTTATTATAGCGCAGTCTAAGAATAACAGAGCGCGCGTGAAAGGAACTCCACAGATTTGGCAAAAAACATTCAATCGACCCTCCAATTTTTTGGGAAAACTGGAGCGATTTATTAAATATGACAACCATAACCAAAACAAAGCTTGATATCGACCTTCTGCTAAAATTGGTGGAACGAAATCCGGCAAATCCGTGATTCAGTGAAAACGCGCCTGAAAAAAGTGAAATAAAATTCATGAGACGCAAGATTGGTCAAAAACCTCGCCAACTAGAGACATTTGGATGACAATAGGCAGCTTCATTTACTGCAGAGCAAAATTTTTCAACTTTATGCGTCCAGAAGAAGCGGACAAAAAACTCAGATCGAAGCAACATCTCTGCCTCGGATCCGAATGAAAGTGTTCTTTGCCGAGACTTCACTGAAGTGAAAGTTCTATGCAAATCATCCAGTTTTGTGATCTTGTAGCGGTGCGTTAATCCGAAAAAAACGCAACTTTCGAAAGACATGAGTAATTCAAAATAAAACACAAAAGTTCTTGCAATCACATTAAAAAAACTCCAAAAAAACTTTCATTCAAAAAAGTTTAAAAAACTGCGAGTCAAAGATGTGAAATGAAAACTCATAAAATATACAAAAACAAATTAGGAAGATTTTCTGGCAAGCAATAAATTACACATAATTGGAGTACAACCGAACTTTTCAATTAAAAAGATTAAAATGCTAAATGCATAACAACTTTCGGCGCTGTGGCAACTAAACCGGCACATAAGCAGACGACGAAAGATTTGACAAAAGTTTTCTTGCCACGCATGTTTACAAAATTTCCTGTTTACAGAAAAAAAAAACAGGTCCTGGCCGGATTCGAACCTCAGCACTTTGTATTCGCAGGCGTTTGAGTTTTCCTGTGCCGTATTTGCAGATTTACGCTATGATTTTGATTTTATTAACGGTTACACTTCTAGATATATCCTTAAAAATGGGTTATTAGTGGCCAGTAGTTAATCTCAGTGATACTGCTCGAAGTACCACTGAAGCCTTAGAAGTGATTATACCCCGAAGCAAATGGTTCAAAAGATTTTGTTTAGTTAGCAGTTAACCAAAAACACTGTATTCCGATTTAATTTGGTAGTGCTTGTCAATCGCGAGCTTACTTACATCTAAAAACTTTTCTTCTTATTTTTTTCCAATTTCTAGTTATTCAAAAAACAATGATGTACACCCGAATTAATTTTGACATAAACTTTACCTCAAAAAAACTTATTAGATTCAAACAACTTGATTATTTCAATTTCAACTACATATATTCCACTTTTGCTTTCAAAGAGTAAACAAGACTGCTCGTATCAAGGCGAAGCCCTGAATGTTCCGACTGCCTATTAAGGTTTATGGAGCAGTAGTAACATCAAAAAATTAAAAGTAAAAAACAAAATAAAAAGTTTTTTTTTTCTAAAATTTGTGAATTTTTTATGAAAATATTCCCCCACACACCATATAAAGTACGAAAGGATAGATTTCGCTACTTGTAACAAATTAATGATGGCAAATAAGGTTTGTTAAACCAATTTGGAACGATTTCTAAGACGGATTAACTCTCCGCTTACGCGTTATTAGCGCGAAACATATCGCGCGTTAATTGTCCCAAATTGGCCAAAATGGCAATCTTTAAACCCCCATAACTTTACGAAAAATGATCACAGGTGGAATATTTTTTCAAATTTGAGCTCAGGAAAACAATACCTTTCGAATGATATAAAAAACTTCCGTCAAAAATGGCTAGTTAAAAAGTCGAAATTTGTCTGAAGAAAAAAAAACCCCACCCCGAGCACAAATATTCCGTTACTTTCGTATCGAAAGTCGGAACAATAAACATTTTTTTCCCGCGTTTTATTGTTTTCTCTGCAGCTTTTTGTTCCGACGTTTGTAAAATCACGATTTTAACGCGCTAAATCAAAATTAGTTACCGAGGTGAAACATCCTCGCGAAGCAGGAATTTGATAATACAGTCTCAAGTTGGTTCTTTGGGGCTTGTTCCGGCATTAAATCGGTCTTATTTTTGGGCGGTTTGAAACATTAAAAGTCTTGGGAGCTAACACCAGAAATTTTTGAGACTGCATATAAATGCTTATGAAAAGATTGTGCATTGATTGGAGGTTTCCAAATTATTTGGTTGGGCAGTCAAACTATGCATAAATATGATATATACCGTTTTTAATGCCGGGCCATATAACTTTTTCAATTCTTTTATCTGTCATTCTTTGGTCAAATAAAGAGTAAAGAAGCTTACTAGTTTTTTTGAGAACAAATTTAAGCCCTTACATTCAAACTTCCTGAATTGTTTACACAGCAAAAACACTTCTGGACGATATAATTTACTGCTATTTAATGCCTCCGAAACAAAAATTCTCGATTTCGATTCAGCTAGCTGTTTTCAAATACAATTATCTCGAATGAGCCAATTCAACCTTATTCCAAAAAATTAAAGAAAACGTCGAAAATAAAAAAAAATTTATTTGCTCGTTGACATCAAAAATTGCTATTGCCTTGTCCGGTGACTGTACAAAAAACACTTTATACGCGTACTGCGATTTGGATGTGCGCCGTCATGAAGTCTGTCCCGCGCTGAAAGTTAAGACCCTGAGGCGAAGCTGTGCTTCGCAAACACAAGCGAGGAAAATGCAAAAAAAGCTCTATACAGTCGAAACAAAGTGAAATAAGAAAAAGAAAATATTAAAAATACACCTTGAGAAAAAATTTCGAGTATCATTTTTGAGATTAGGAAAATAACGTTATCCGTTCCACAACCTCTTGTAATTTACTAACAATAGCCATCTACGAAGCAGCAAAAACTCGCTCAAAAATGTTTCAAATGTGCTGGGTTTGAATCCCTGACCTCAGGATTAGGAGCATCAATAACGTCCTCGCATCTGCTCCACACTTTGAAGTAAACTAGTGGTACAGCCAATGCTGGATGTACCTGTTTTATTACTAATAATCATATGCACTTATTATTATTAGTCATATGTACTGATACGGAAATGCGTAATATTCAGCAAATCTAAGTCTTGGAGTTACCGCAAAACCTTTGTAATTTCTCTGCTTAAAAAGGACATTAACTGCTTATTTAAGGAAAAAACGACTCGCTCTTTCAATTAAATTCTATTTTTCAGATTTGTCTGGGTAGTTTTCAGAAACACTATGGGCAGTTTTCAATTTGTCTGGGTAGTATGTGTAGTTTTCAATTTGTCTGGAATGTTTTTAAAAAAATAATCTTGAATCAAAAGTTTGAATTTTGCTAACTCTATTAACTTTTCTGTACCACAGCATGGGATTAGCCTTTCAAGCAGGCAAGTTTTCGGCGCCCTGACTTTTGGATTGAATCCGTACTATCAAATTTAGCTTGTAGTTTTCGATATTAGTGATGACAACTCTTTAACAAACGGTAAAAATTGGATTTTCCCGAAGTCCATATCGGCTTTTCTATAAAAAAAAATGAAGCTAACAGATTACGCAGAGTCTCAATTTGTGTTGGTTTGAATGAATTTTCAACCTCTGAATCAGCAAGTTAGGTTTTTGGAAAAATGAGTTTCCAAAAAAACGCTCATAAGTTCGACAATTAGACTTTATCGAAGGCCCATATTTATTTTTTTACCAACCGCAGATCATAGCCGCTTGCACAGAAAAATTTCACATAACTTATTTTCCTTTCGGTCGGAAGGGTAGTTTGAAAGTTGTTTTAAAATTAATCAAAATGTCAAAAGATGGGCTTGTTTGAGGGCATAAACTTTTTTCCTACCAACTTCAGGGAAGAACTGCTAGGAAAATCAGAGATTCACAAATCTGAGATGGTCATAATCGAATAAACAAATCAAGGGAATCGCATCTCAGATTTGTGCATTTAATATTTGAGAACAAACGATTAATTAGGTCCCCCGACTGAAACTTTCGAAGGCTGTAGAGCGTGGGTTCAACTGAGAAGAGACTAGCGAAATACGCTGGCACATAAAACACCAACTGGTTTGTTCATTAGAACATTTTTTGAAAAACGGAGCAGAGGAACATTTTTTGAAAAACGGAGCAGAGGAGAAAATGGAAGTTTTTCTGAAGAGACGCTAACAAAAACAGCAAATCTCATATATTCTCATAATACCTGTTTTTTTAACAGTACCTAGCACTTAAAATAAAGCAACAATATTAAATTGCTATGCTCAAATAGGCTCAAATGTGATTTAATTGAAACCATAGAGCCACCAAATGAGCACTTTTATTCGCAACTTAGGTTATAAAAAAATGTTTCGTAAACTACGTTTCGCTTGCGTAAAAACGCGCACTTGTATTTGTATCAGCAGGGGCATAAAATGAAAATCGATTACAATCACCTGTACGCACGCTTTCTTAATTCCCTGTCGAAAACACAGAAACCAATGGTACTACTACATGGGCATCTCGTACCTAACCACAAGTCAAATTTTCCTCGTCTGCCTGTATGTTTCCCACTTTCTTCAAAACTATTGGGATATGAACAATAAATTACTTAGTTTGATAAATTATCCTTTGTATGGTGTTTCTTTATTATACTTCTTATGATATCTATCAAGTTTCTCATTATTCCAACTGGATCTGTACTGCAACTTGCCTTGCTTTTCCTCCTTTTTCGTGTCAGTCGGAACACTCAGTTCTTCCGTTACCATAGACTGCAGTTTCGATCCTGCATCATCGATTAGGAAAGTCAAAGACGCGATTACATAATCGAATTTCTGAACTGAAACAATCAGTTGTTTCAATTGGTCGTCCAAACTGTACAGCATTTCGATAAACTCGTGAACTTTCTCACGAGGTACATCATTTTGCACCATTGAAAGTGCAGTGAAGACTTCACGCATGGAACGCTTCTTATTCTGCATGCCGGCAAAGTATCCGTGGTCCTTACAAGTCGAGAAATCGTAATGCAACATCTTAGTTATGGCGCTTAACGTCTGAACTGAGTCGGTAGCTTTTTCTCTCAAGTATTTAACACGGTTAACCAAATCGTCGTAAGCCTCGCTTGCTTCTGTCCGTTCGATGATGTACCTTTTCTGTCTTGGGACATTTTGTTTAGCTGGAGTTTCAGAGCGAATGTACACAGGAAGTGTTTCATCTGTCAATCTCAACTCCATCATTACAGACATAAATTGACTCAGAACTTGTCGTTGAGAAACAATGGAGATTAAAAACTTCTGTGCCTCCTCGACTAATTTCTGCGCATCTGGATCATGAGCTTCAACGTCGATATGAAAAGGCGAATCTTGAACCCCGAACGCAGAAGTTAACTTATCAACCAAAGCAGCAAAGTATATTTGGAAGCTATCCATTTGTGTGTAGGTTTCTTTAATCAAGCTTGTTACGAACACTGTTTGGTCCATAAGGTGACTCGTGCTTTGTAAATTAGTTCGGCATTTCGTGCATTCGATTTCATCTTCACCATGCTTACAGTCCCAAGTGGAGTCGCAAATTTTTTCAACCGGGACGCACTTGTTACCGCATAGGATCCCGCTACAGAAGCAGTAGCCGTTAGTGTATGACTCATCGTGGTTGTCGGCACAGTCCTGCTTCCCATCGCAGAATTGGTCGTAAGAAATACATTCATCGGTGGTAAGGCAGAGTTCGTACTTCCCCCGTGGACAATTATTAGGACATGCAACTTCATCTTCACCCTAAAATCACCCTCGATTTAGGCATTTCGATTCAATATTAACTAGGAAAAAGGCATCACACAAAATTAACTTTGAACTTGCGCAACAAATGTAATCGAGAAGCCTCAGTAAAACCGTTGAAGTTAAACATAGGATTGTAGGCCTAACTAACCCTGAAGCACTGTTCAATGCCATCGCACACTTCGCTTGTTTTGATGCAATGCTTGTCTGAACACTCAAACTCATCCGACTCACACTCGTGGATCTTCTCGGAACCCGAACCTTCCTGGAAACACATCGCCGGCTTCTCATCCTCGCCATCTTTGCAGTCGTAAGTGCCATCACAAATCCATTCATCAGGGATACACCGCAAATTGGAAGCATTCAGGTGGTTTCGGATACCCGACGTGCATCTGAAGTCGTTTCCAGGTTTGCAAGAGCAGATGTTCTCGTCAGATTTGTCACCGCAATTATCAACGTAATCGCACACCTTTGCACGGGAAATGCACTCTCCATTTTTGCACTTGAAATCGCCACTGTTTGCACACTCTTCGCACCACATTTCGTCCGAGCCGTCAAGGCATTGCGGCTCTCCGTCACAGAGGTCAAACACGAGCACACAACCTTAAACATTTTTAATATATTTTAGCTTATGTAAACTGAGTTTCAAATTTCATGAAATGAGGGTGCTAATTTTCAGCCAACTTTGATAACGTAAGAAAAACTCATTACTCCCTTTCAGCCTTGATTCAGGTTTAAATTTAAAAAAATTGTCTGTCGAGAAATGGGTCAATTCAGTAGCGGATTTAGGGGGAGGGGGGAGGGGCGGACGCCCCCCTCAGAAATTCGACCGCCTGCCGACATAAAGGGTCCACCCTTTGTACTATTTTGAGATATCCATTTTTGGCTGACTTAATTTTTTCTGAAGGCGCCTTCTTATTTTGAGGGGGGAGCGTGCGCCGAAAAATCTTTTTTGGTCGAAACTTTCCAAAGTGCTTACAAACGCCTTCTTTCAAAAATTTGCCTGCAGCGCTGAAAATTTCGTCAAATTAGGGGCTTTATAACGGCTTGGGAGAGCTCAGAAAACCATTTTGGTCGACCTAAAAAAAAAGGCCGAGAAAAATTAAAATTTTTCGAAAATCCCCCCCTCGCGAAATTCCTAGATCCGCGCCTGGATCTTAAAAACATATATATATAAAAATATATACGAAAATAAATTTCATTGAGCTGATATTTGAGCCGACCTAGGTTGTCCTGGCATGGAAAGTGGAATGGCTCGCAAGGTTCACATCCCACTTCATCCGACAAGTCTCCACAGTCGCTGAAGCCATCGCACAGTTTGTCAGAGGTCACCATCAACTCTCCACTTTGACACGTGAATGCATTCGGATGTCGTGAGTTGCAGTTGATCTCGTCAGAGAAGTCACCGCAGTCATTATCTAAATCGAACAATCAAAACCAAGAACGTGGAACCTCAAAGGTACCTAAAAGTACTTACCACCATCACTCAAACCATTTATGCAACTTTAATACAAATTATTTTGGAAGTCTTACAGAATCTAGTTGATACGATGCTAACTCTTTCCAGTGGCTTCCAAAATAACTTGTATTAGACCATTTTCACCGATCTATGGAACCCCCTATGGTATCTACTAAAGAATCTCCCCCTTTGAATTAAGTAAATTAGCACACAGGCTTTGTAAAGAAAACTCTTATTTCGCTGCATTCTGTCTTCAAAAATTAGCTCTGATTTTGAAAGGGCAAGTTGTTAAGGATCTCCAACCGAAGTTATCATTTAACTCCACAATAAGACCAAATTGGAGATCTACCTTCGTCGCACACGAACACTGGATCGATACATCTATCACTCTTGCATTGGAACAGTCCTCTCGCCTCACAGTCACTACACTCCCTCTCGTCCGATGAGTCACTGCAGTCTGCGAATGAGTCACACCTGAAATAACGCTTCATTTTTGGTTTTTCATGCGTAGTTAGGTATGCTCCCTAAACAAACAATGGGGGGATCACATTTGCATTATTTCTCGGAACTCACATTTAGGAATATCGCTATGGGTGGGGTTGGAACCTGGTTTAACTAGCAGAGCATCCGATAAACTTTTCTACAACCAAAAAGCTCAGAAAACCTGGATTTGCATAAAACGGTATTTCGGAAGCTCCAACTTTATAGTATTTTTATGGATGCTCAAAATATAAGGAATTGATCAATTAAGCGACCATACCTGTACTTCATATCCACACACAGCCCATCCTCGAGACACTCGAACTGTTTACCCTCGGCACAGCACGACTGTCTTTCATCCAGACCCGACTCCAGGCAATCCACTTCTCCATCACAAATCCAACTGGCCGAAACGCACTTAGCAACCGACTCCTGACAGTCGAATAGACCTGGTTTGCACAGGGGAAAATCGTGGACCGTGCTATTCTTCGAATGAGTTGCAGTCGACAAGGACCACATGGCGATGAACATAGTAATGACGGTTGGCACCATCATCGTGCGAAGCAAGTCTTCCTTCCTACTGCGGCAAATCTGAAAATTTGAAATTTCTGACTGTGATTTAACTTTTTTCAATGAATCGAAATCAAGATATCGGTAGTATCAAGGGTCAACTATTTTCGCTTGATTTTTCAAAAAATATCGCGTTTTCTATTTTTTTGCGAAAGTAATCGATTGCAACAAGATTCCACTCACCATTTTCGTTCGTTTGTTGGTTTGTCTGCTTTATTGGTTTCAGAATTAGCTTGGTTTTGCTACGACGACACCGACGACGAATGATTCACTGCGAATGCGGCTAATTGGCAAACCGAAGAGATTGACCTTGGAGTTTCAGTCAAAAGGGCAGGTCGATTAGGAATTAATATAGTTGGAATTGAATCACTCAAAGGTCAGCGAAGTCGAATGAAGTAAGCAAAGCGTGAAAAACGCAGCAGCGATTGTACGAAAACTGTATCGTTATTTTAAAGCGCGGATGACTGATGACGAAATTTTAAGGCACTGTGACTAAATGTGGCCTAAGAGTAACTAACAGAAAAGGAAGAATTAACTGTCGAGTAATTATTGATCAATGATTGAATTATGTGTGTTGGATAATCGGCTCAACTGCTGTCTGGTAGCCCTCCCTCCCCCATTTAGACGATTAGTCATCGCTGATATTCCTCTATAAGTCATATTACCAGTAGAAATATCAGGAAGCAGCATTCTATCTGCCCTGTCTTGTTTGTCTATCAGACTCAGATCTCGCAAAGCAACGATTAAAGGTCTTCGCAATGTTTTAGATGACTTTCTTCTATCGGCATTGGCGGCCAATAGTTTGGACATCTCCACTGAATACTGGAAACGTCTTGTTTCTCGGACTAAACTCTTCTCCTCTTTTTGGAATTTAGCCTGGACCATGTTTCGAGTGTTCCAGGCGCGCTTGCGCTTCTTTCGTTTGCGACGTTTTCCAGTAACCTAGGAAAAAATGATTCGGGTGCATAAATTGGCAAAATGTGCGATAATTGAACCAGAAAAGCACGCACTCCAGAAACTCATTCGGTATCAGAAAAATTTTGAAGCTTTGCAGTCTGTTAGACTGGCTTTTTTAGCTGAACTCTGCCCCGATTTAATTAAATTTGCTAATCGCAATCGAAAACATAGCCAACAGACATTTGAAAAAGATTCAATGAACGCAAAAAAAAACTGAAAAGCACGGAAAAAAAAATCTGAAAAAAACTGCCTTGTTCTTTTTGAAATAATCTCAACTTTCAGATTTCAAAAAAACAGATGTCCTGAAAACTCATTGAACTTTAAGAACAATTTCTGATAGGCACATTTTTGATTAAAAAAATAACACAATTTGAGAAAATTGGATCATTAAGTATAATTTTTATTTCGCTGGGAAATCTCAAAACTACCATTTCGAAACTAGAATTTGATCGATCACGTTTTTCGTGATCATTACAATTTTGCCATTCGATTGCCAATTTTGTCTTCCTTTTAACAAAGGAAATGAACTGAAATTTAAAAAAATCAAACCGCTAAAAAGTAAATTTGAACCTGAACAAATTTTGAGAATTTTCGGAAAAATGAAAAAAATAATAATCGCGACCTTAATAAGTGTCTGAACTACGTTCATCGAGTCTTAATAACAGAGGTGAAGCTGCAATTCGCAAACACAAGCAAAAGAGTGGCAATCAAGACAATTTAAAATAGCAAGAAAATACAAAAAATGGAAATAGGCATCGATAAAAAAGCAATATAAATGGCAAAAGTTGAGCTTTCAAATTCCACGCAAAAGCAAGATAAGTAAATAAACACTTAAAATAAAATGTCACCTACGGGATAACATGGACCAAAAACAAGATGCAAAAACACATGATTGTCACTCATGTACTGAAACTGAGTAATTTGGAAAAAAGTGCTCCATCGATTGGAAAAAAGTTTTTTTTTTCCATTGAGTGGGATGAAGAAAAACTCAAAAGAATAGATTCTAATTGCCTGATGAAATTATGCAAACAAGATTTTTGTCCAGTTACACGTGGTCTTGCTTGACACTTGACTTATGATTGACTCCTGGTGAAATGTCATATTTAGTTAGAGAGCAACCGAAAGCTGAAGTTTCTCGTAGCTCATTCCACAATGCTAGATGCGAGTGATTCAATGTGAAATACCTTTTATTCACAAGTGACATTCATATGCGAATCCCTAACTAGCTTAAAAGACGCCCAAATATTCCCGGTCGAAACAAAAAAAGCAACAGCAGCAGAGCAAAAGGTTGCGATATGCAAAGATTTCGATTTATTTTTGTATAATTTGCTTCTATATCAGGTTTTCGAAAATTTTGTTGAGCTTTATTTTTTTCGGTCGACCAAATTGATTTTTCGAGCTCCCCGAAATCACTATAAAGACCCTTTTTGAGAAAACTGGGTCAATAGTTCAATTTTTTATTTCGCTGGAAAAACTGAAAATTAAATTCCGTTTTCAAAACAGTAATCAATCGCGTTTTTCGTGCTCTTTACACTTTTGCTGTTGATAGTAGAGTTTGCCTTCTTTTTAACAAAGGAAATGAGCTGAACTTAAAAGAAATCGAAAGACAAACCGCCTGAGCAGACTTTTCCTGAACAAGCAAACGAAAAAAAAAATCATCACGACCTATATAAGAGTCTGCATTAACTCTTGATAATAAAATCGAACAGAACAGAAAATTTAAAATTCAGACATGCCCAAAATAAGCCTATAGTTGGAGCAATCACTGAGTTGACCAATTGATTTCTAAACAAGCTGTTAATCTGAAATTAGATCTCTGATTCGATTTGATAACGCTTGCTTATCGCAAGCGTAAATAACCAAATATAAAAAAAATATATACATATTTTCTACCAATAAAAATTTTTATAAATCTAATAGCCACCTGCTCGCCGATCATTCAATCACCGTTAGAGTTTGTTTTGTAGGTAAAATTTTTAAACCACTCTTATGTCCGCACATAATTTTTTTTGTAACTTTTTATTGCATTTTAAATCACAATTGTGAGACAAAAATACTCGCCCTCGACTCAATCAGACTTTCCTTTTTTCTTTAAGGTACTTATTTTACGTGAAAAAAAAACACCAGAACAAAGCAACAAATTTCGCCTCGAAACACAGAATTTTCTGTCAAATAGTTATACAAACAGATAAACAGTTGTCGGATCTACTTAACAACCCCCCCCCCCCTCTATTGTATCTACTAAAGAATCTCCACCCCTGTAAATAAAAACATTAAATCCTCACTAGAGCGTTGCATGCAAATTCGAATTTTGCTGCATTCTGATTGGTCGAAAATTCACTGCAAGTATTCTATTTAACAATCCCCCCCTCTTTCTTGAAAGGGAGGAGATTTTTAAGTAGATCCCAGTTGTCTAACAATTATACAATTAACGTAACAACTCAATTTTGAATGAGAAAAACTCAAATATAGTTTAAATTTTGTCACCAGTTCGGTAACTTTCAAAATCGCAAGTCTAAATAGATAAAAAACAATAAAACTTTTCTTAATGTTATTTCTCGACGCTAGAAACAAAACATCGATTTTTTTCTACAATTGAAATGTTAGGTGTAAAAGGGCATATCCTCATCCAGTAAACAGCATGTAATTAAAGTGTCTTTTTATTTGATTTCTTTCGTTTCGCTTGACTAATTAATGTACCTTGTCATCCTCGTCATCTTCCTTCTTCTTGTGTCTGGTTATCTTGACTGCCAGAACTCCCTTATTGGACGCCACTCTCTTCACCCGGATCCCATAGTCCTCTAGGTCCACTGAGAAGTCTGGGAACTGCACTATGCTCAGGATCTCAACTAGAAGTTGACGCTTAACATCCGTGTCCTCCCAATTTTGTTCTCCGTTGTCTACACAGAGTAAACCGATGAAATCGCGTTTAAAAAGAAGGTTGAAAGCGTGATAAGGAAAATTGCTAGCAAATGTTTAAGACTCAATCAAATTACCGTATTCCAGAAACGACGCTTAAAATTTCATAAAATCACTAAAATTTAAAAATTCGAAGCTCAAAAAACGTTCTTCAATGTTTTCACAGAGGCTAAGCGGAGGTTCGCACCTCTAGCGATACCACAAAAAAATAGCACTGTAAGCATGCAGACAGAAAAGAAAGCATAGCCGCTAAATCCAAAACTGAAACTTCCAAAATTGTCTGGAATGCCGTTCTATTTCCTGAAAACTCTTCCAGAAGTATAATCAACAGCGTTTAAAGAAAATCCAAAAATATTTATCGAGCGGCAACTGAGCCTACTTAATTCCTGTAGAGCCGAAAACCATTGTTTTTATGAAAAAGTTTGAACTATAACTTCTCATCGAAGATTTTTAGCATTTCGTGCAATCAGGTGGGGAGTATTAAAAATATGTTTCTCTAAGAGCCACCCATATCAAAACAGTGAAAATAACAAGAAAAATTGCGAGCAGTAAAAAAAATTTAAGATGTGGCAACTAAGCCGACAGAACATAAGCAGACAAATAATAGGCCGGCAATAAGGCCGAAAACCCAATATTTCCAGTTAAAAAAATGATGTCCCGTTAGATTCGAACCCAGGACTTTTGCCGTCCTACGGGTTTTCGTTACCTCCAAAGCAAGTGTGCCGGAGACGCTAAGAATTTAGAATTCATGAATTGATACTTAATCTATCATTACTAATTTTGACCATTCTGTGAACAAAATTAGTAACGGTAACAAAGTTAGTACTCGATTGCAATACCCTTGCTGATCGCAAGTATAACACGGAGGCAAAGCTAGAATTCATGTACCAGTCAATTTGAAAAAAGAAATTTACCAACTAACATGCCTCCATTTATAGAGCAGACGCATTTCAACAAGTAAACGAAAAAGTTCATTAAAAACATCCGACCCTCCTCAGGTTCGAACCCTCTTATTTTGTTACGGGTCTCCTTCCCTACGTTATACTTAACCTTATAAATGGGGAGGGGGAAGCCCGAATTACTTAGTTTTTGATCCGATTTAGCATGAGATTTTGGCGTTTAAGATGACGTTTAGGATATTCTAGAACCTTCTGTAGTGATGACATTCATTTTCAATATCTGTTCCACGTCTTCCCCCTCCGAATCACTCATCCAGTCATTCTCGGCAAAGGAAGGATACGACACACGACTCACATCTAGCCACGAAGATGACACATCTCCACTCGAGCTAGAAGTAGTCTCAGCTGTCGTACTCGTGTCACCTCCCGTTGCCGAGGATGACATCACAGCAGCCGAAAAGAAGCTGGTTTGTCGTGAATTGTTAGGTCCTCCCCTAGGCAACAATCATGGCTGGTAATTTTTATTAAAGTTTCAAAAAGATATTGGGTTGCAAACTTTTTCCGATTTCTGTAGCTTCTTCTATATCCAACATTTTTGTAGCTTAAAACAATGTTTCGTGAGAAAGTGTTCAAATTGATTTGGTATCTGTATAAAATGAGTTCCAGTCTCGGAATGATTGTGCGAAAAACCGGTGAAAAAACTTACCCAGCAGCTGAAGGGTAGGTATGAGGGGTTGTGCATGTAGCTCTTTCTCTCAGAG